GCTTAGCGAGTCCCGGCGCAGAGAGCTGCGCTATAGACTTACCCCAAGAGGCCTGAGGATAGTAGTGCAGGCTAGGAGGGGTTTGTGTTTTTTTAAAAAGCCTTCATCGATAGCCAGAGGTATTTAGGGAACAACTGAAAACCAGCTGGTGTTCGCAAACTCCCTGTTTCAGCTCCTGTCCCCTCCTACCTATGGATGCCATGCTGGCCATAAGCCTGCCATCCAGGACTTCAGGAACTCAGGGAAGGAATGTCTTTCCTCTCTCTCTCAAGGTCTTACTCCAGCAATTGACATTTCCATAATCTCCTTATACTTAAGTGGCCCCAGAGGGAACGCCTCCTCTGCCCCCTCCACACACACACCCCCTGCCCCCGCCCCGCGCTTCTTCCCCGTCTTCAGGTAAAATCATTCCATGTCTTATCTTCTCGGTCTCCAGAGTGAACCCATTCTTTTCTCTTTCTGTCTCTCTGCTTCCTCAGAATCTTTAATCTTTGTTCCTGCTACTGTCACCCTGTTTGGTCCTTTTTCACCTCCCCATAGGACTTTTTTCCCCTCTCCCTCCCTGACCCTCATCAGGGACTTTGCCACCTGTGTCCCATAGACCACTGCTGCTCTCAAGGAATTCCTAGGAATTCGTGACCTTCTTCCACTCCCTCCTCTTAAAAAACTTACAGTGCAGAAGATTTGGAAGGTACTTCCATGCACACGTGTCCCAAAGAACTCATGGACTTTACTTTTCCTGAGAGTCGGACTCGATTAGAGCTGGTATCTCTGGACACTGAGTGCTGGGGGCCATGTTCTCAGAGCCGTGGCTGATAGGGGACCACTTCTACTTGAACTGGTGGCTACTGACTGGGATTCTCAGAGACCCACCCACCAGGGTGGTTTACCAGCTGGTCTTCTTGCTCCCTGTGAACACTGAGCACTCAGCCCTATTCACCCCCTCCACAGAGTCTTTATGGACAGGTACTGGTCAGGAAAATATGAAACTGACCCTACTAGGGTGACACAGTCAGGCCAAGGAGGGTGGTTCATCTCTGGAGGTTGACTGTCAACTCAGGCAGGTGTGGCATGTCATTGGGGGAGAGTGCAAACAGACTCTTCATATCTCAGGCCTATGTCATTACACTCCTCCTTTACCGTTATCCCTGGAAAAAGTGTTTTGTGCTCACCGAGTAGTTTGGGTCAGACTATGACCAGAGAAGCCAATTAAAGGCAGTCTAGAACAAGTCAGTTCTATATTACATCATCTGATGATCTTGAAAAATGACAAAATTGGTTTTCCAGGGGTGGTTTGATTTGGTTGATAAAAAGACACACACACACACACACACACACACACACACACACACACTATGTGACATGAAGTTGAATCTGTTAGCTCTTTACACTGTGAAGCACCTTCCTGTTTCTCCTAAGACTAACTGCAAATTAAAAATGGCTTTTGGAGAGTGTGCAAAGACACAATAGCACTTCCCCTCTCCTTGTCTCAGTGAATGAGCTACAGGTCTGGAGAATTAAGGAGCTTAGGGACTGCTCCAATCTTTTTACGCTTGCCTGAGCTTTGAACCAATGAAGCATCCACACTTAAGTGGATTGGGGTCACACATACTAGAATGCTTTTAGCATAAACACTGTTCATAGAGGAGGGGTTGACATTCCCTCTTTCAGGAACAATAGAGAGATGGTTTAAACAGGAACAGTTCCATCATTCCCATCAGTGTTCAGAAAATTGCTTAACAGTTTGTCCTTTGATTTATTGTGTCCATCATGTTTGAAAAAGTCTCTGGCTCTTCCTAAGAATGAGCCAACATGAGCTGAAAGTAAAGTCCAGGATCCTTTCTCCTGAAAGCTGGCTTGCCGTCATGCAAGGGTAGACCAACAGGAATGAGAGCCCTGATTGTGGGGTCAGCTTCATGCTTCTGAGTGGGTACCTGGTGACTTGGCTTTGTTATCTCCACTCTGTTCAGGGGAGTGCAGCAGTGGGATCTGTGATGAGGCTTCCTGCGTCAATGGTGGCAGCTGTGCAGCCATCAAAGCAGACTCCTACATTTGCCTCTGTCCCCTTGGGTTCAAAGGTCGACACTGTGAAGAAGGTAAGAAAGAAGGAAGTTGGCAGTGGGCCCTGGATATGTGTTCATTCAGGTGGACCTATTTGTTCTTAAGGGATCCCAAGTTGCTTTGCTGGATGGGACTATCTCAGAGTACCAAAGTTTTTTTGTTTTATTCTGTTTTGTTTTTCTGGATTTTTTTTTTTTTTTTTGAGACAGGGTCTCCCTGTAGCTCCAGATGGCCTGGAAGTCACTGTGTAGACCAGGCTGACCTTGAACTCATAGAGATCCACCTGTCTATACCTCCTGAGTGCTGGAATTAAAGGCATGTACCACCATGTCTGGCCCTAGAGTACCAAAGTTTTAAATGAGCCACTGATACATTCCTTTTAAGAAACCAAGCATAGGTCAGCTCCTCTGGCCCCCAGGAGCCTTGGAAAGCGTGTATTGGAGTGGTTTATACCAGTCTGACTTCAGAGTATTAGAATCTTATGCTCTTTATAATATTTGACAGTTTCCAAGAAAATATTGGAAAAATATACACACAAATTACCAGTGTTATATGATTAAAAAAAAGTATTCTTTTTTTTACTTCTTTGTACTGTTCTGATTATCTCACCCATTGATATTATTTATATTATATAAATATGCATGCATATATGCACATATATTTGTGCACACATTTGTATATACATGTAACACACATGTATACATAAACATCAATATGTACATACCAACATTCACAAATAGTTGTGGTTGTCGGCTGTGGCTGCTCTCCACCGGCTATGGCCACTCTCCTGCTCTCTTAGTTCCCCTGATCAGTCGTCTGGTCTGGACCCCAGAGCTCATGAGGAGACTGTGTCAGCAGAGCTGCATTCAGACACAGGAGACCAGGTTCAGTGACGCAGATCTGGTTTATTGCAGGAAGGCACAAGCTTATGTAGGGGTAGTGGCCCAATCACAGCACAGCAAGTAGTTTAAAGGTGAGGTATCCAAGGGTGGTGCACAGCACAGCAAGTAGTTTAAAGGTGTGGTATCCAAGGGTGGTGATTAGGGAGTGGCGAGCTCTAGGCATCAGTCTCATGATCTGCCAATGGGAACAAAATGTCACAAGGCATTCCTTGTGGGTCCAGCAGTCGGGCCCGTTGCCTCAGGCCTGCTGTATGGCTGTCAATAAGACTTTCACCCTAGGTTCAAGCCTGTCTCCCACAAATAGTAACTGAAAATTTTGAAGATTTTGGAAAAAAAAAATAGTCTTGAATGTGCTTTAATTTTTCCAAAATTAAAAAATTAAAAACAAATAAAATTAGCTCTAAGATTACAAAAGTAGTCAAATTAATTCATGAATGGTTAGGTTTGAACTTAAGATACCAGGCAGGGGAAAACATTTTTCAATATAATCTCAAATCCCATATCCCTGGATGAGTACAAGTGAGCCAAGACTGGCTAGGGCCATTTTGGGTTTTGGTAGCCTTACATCATTGGGGTTAATTCTTGCTCACATGACAAATCACTGCAGGTTTGTTCCACATAGTCACTCAGGAAGCAAAGTCTCTACCACCTTAGAATCCTCCTCTGAGTCTTGTATCCCACCAGTATTTCAGGAAGAAAAAGCAGTGGAAAGGGGAGGGAAGTTTTAGGGGCCAGACCTGGGGTACCATATAATACCCCACCCACACTCCACTGGCAGAAGTCAGCCATTCTTTTCTATTACCCACAGGGAAGCTGGGACATGTAATTGGGTCTCTACTCTGGAGGACAAGAGCACGGTACCATGCAGGCCACTGGCTGGTCCCAGCCACACAGGACTCTCTAACATTCTGCTTGTCTCTTCAGCATTCATCTTGACCATCCCTCAGTTCAGAGAGTCACTGTGGTCCTACGCTACCACACCCTGGCCCCTGGAACCCCAGCATTACCTTTCCTTCACTGAGTTTGAGATCACATTCCGGCCAGACTCAGGGGATGGTGTCCTCCTGTACAGCTTTGACACAGGCAGCAAGGACTTCCTATCCATCAACATGGCAGGGGGCCACGTGGAGTTCCGCTTTGACTGTGGCTCTGGGACTGGAGTTCTCAGGTGAGAGCTAAGACCTTCTGCAACTTTCTCCCCTTCAAAGCCACACTGTGAAAAAATACCAAATTGCTACCACGCATCTTTCTGTGGAAGCCTATCCTGCAGATAGCAGGCCACCTGTAGATAGTCAATATTCATATTCTCTGTCTCTGTCTCTGTCTCTTTCTCCCTTGCCCCTTCCCCCCCATAGCAATTCCCATTCCTAGTTTCAGATTATGTACTTACTGTAAAGTGAACTTGCTTCCAGGGGGAAACCTGTCTCCATTTGCCCCATTGCTGATGCAATGACATCAGCAGCCACTGGGGGAAGTGTAACCAACCCTTACTTTACATAGACCATCACAAGTAAATGTTGACTATAAAAAAGAATTACCAGGGGCTGGAGAGATAGCTTGGTCAGCAAAATGCTTACAGTGTAAGCATGAGGATCAGAGTTCAGATCCCAAGCACCCATGTAAAAGTCCAGGTGCAGCAGCATGCATTTGAAACACCAGCACTGGGGGGTAGAAAGAGGTGAATCCCCAGAGTTCACTGGTTAGCCAGTTCAGCCAAATCAGTGAGCTCCAGGTTCAATGAGACCTTGTCTCAAATAAGATACAGCAAGGTGTGGTGTTGCACACCATTAGTCCCAACAGAGGTAGTTGCAGATCTCTGTGAGATCAAGGCCAGCCTGGTCTACATAGCAGGTTCCAGGCCAGGTTGAGCTACAGGGAGACCCTCAAAAAGACATAAAATAAAGTGAAATAATAAAATAAAATAAGGTGAAGAAAACCTGATGTCAACCCCTGGCCTCCATGTACACATGTATAAGTGTCCACATGCACATGTACACACACCTGAATATGTGCACACACACCTCACACAAGCACACAAAAATATGAACAAATATTTAGTGAACAGAAATGCCCTTGGTGACCTCTCTTCAAATTTTAACTTTCCTCTTTATTTCTTTGATGGTAACTCATGCTTTGGCAAATATCTATGCACTCTTCTCCTATAAGGGAACCTGGCAGTGACTGCCCCACAGACGCCAACATGATGTGGGATGAGTGCTTTTGGTAGCATGGCTATGGAGGCATGTAGCTCATCCCTGCACAACTGGTTTGAGTGCCCAAAACTTTCCTCTTGTTATCTAGTCTGCACTGTTAAATGTCTTGCTTCACAGCTCAATTGTTCCTATACAGCAACCCAGTGTCATTTTGGGGCCCTTGGAGCCTTGCTTGGTAGGTGTAAAATTTTTGTTTTTTTATGTCTCCCTCTTTAAAGAAACCATTGCTATTTCTATCATATGTATATAAATTATATCTAAAATTTTCTTATTCTTAAGAAAATTTCATACAGGTATGCAATGAAATATGACATATCAGTTCACCAGTTCTCGCCTTCAGCTCCTCCGATGTCCTTCTCCCCAACATGTCCTCCTCCTAAACAAACCTCGTGGGTTTGTTTGTTTTTTTTTTTGATAACCCACTAAGTCCAGTTAGTCCTGCCCATATGTGCGTGGGTATGGGGCCATCCACTGGAGCATAGAAGTCCTACCAGTGGCCACACTCTCCAAAAAGAATATTCTCCCTGCCCCAGCAGCTATTGACTGTTAGTAGCTCCTTAGTAAGGGGTGGGACCTGGAGGTCATCTACCTCAGCTATGTCAGAATTTTGGCTTGCTTAATCTAGTGCAGATAACCACAGCTGCTGCTGGTTCATGATAGTGACAGCCATGTCATGCCCCGAAGACAGTATTTCACAGCACTCCTCCCCATTGCTCTTACGTTCTTTCCACCTTTTCTTCTTCCATGTTCTCTGAGCCTTTGTGAGTGTGTGTGTGTGTGTGTGTGTGTGTGTGTGTGTGTGTGATATAGGTATCCCATTTAGGGCTGAGCACTCAGTCTCTTATTCTTGGAGCTTTGACTAGTTATGCATCTCTCCATCATTTGCTACCCACTGAAGAAAGAAGTTTCTCTGACCAAGGTTGAGAGCCACCTAGGTCTATGAGTATAAATATAAGTATTTAGATGGCAAATTTGACAGCATTATCTCGTATTGTGCTTCTCTTAAGATAGTTTTAACCCTCATACCTGAGGGCCTCTAATCTAATACAGAATTCACCTTGCTATGTTTGTCTAATTCTTCTTTTGAAACTCACTGGGATACTTTGCTTAATAGTGCCCTGTGACAGACTTCCAATCTATTGTTGTTTTAAAGGAAACTGCAGCTGTACTAGATCACCTCATATTGTTAGCCTATCATTTTCAGAAGGCATGTGTGGGTGAGATGCTACCACCATGCATTGCCCTAAACTGCTGACCATTTTTCATGGCTGATGGGAAATGCTGTCTTCATTTAAATTTCAACTGTCCCTAAATAAGATAGTTTGTTTTTGTCCTTGTGGCTGAGTTCATAGACATCAGTGACACCGCCTACCCTGGGGAATGGACAAACATTTTTGTCCCTTTGATTATGCAAAATATCCTATATCTCAAGACAACTTAGGTAAGTATTTAATTGATTCAATTTACATATGATTATGCAAAACAGCCTAAGTAATTCACTTAGCACTATACATCAAGTTTAGAAAGGAAGACACCTTGAGGATCACCTTGCACTTAGAATCCCTTCTTTTGGGTAAGGGTGACCAGCAAGAGCATCTCCCACTCCTTCCAGATGCTCGCTTTCCCTACCTGCCTCTCTGCAGTGGCAGCTCCCACCATGGGAACACTGACAGACAGACTTTGAGACATCTAACGTTTCTTTTTCATAAGTCTAGGCCTATTTTCAGTGAGAGGCATTCTAATTTTTTATAGTGTAAGTTATTTTCCTACCTGTTAGGGAAGATTATTAGAAAAAAAAAATTCTGAATTCTTGAATCTTGAGTGGAAATAAGACGACGGTTTCCAAGGAGCATCGACCCACCGTCTGCACCCATCCCACCTAGGGCCCATGAACCTGACAGCAGGAATCACTGTTGGTGTTTTGAATAAGCCTCTTTGGAAGTTGCTTAGTTTGAAAACTATTTCAAAAACTTCCCACCTAATTAAGAAAATTCAGTGAAAGCTTCAACTGTGAGAAGTTGTAGAATTGGCCAAATCATTTTAATTTTAAGAAAAAGGTAATGTGGTCAAAATAATTATGAACTTGATTCAAAAATCAAGACAATTTCATTGACCTCTTGATGGCTGTGATCAATATAACTGTGCAGAAGGTATTGGATTGACAGCCAGTGACCTCTGCAGGACAGAAACATGACAAGTGTGCTGTTAATCATTATGGAAATAGACCACTTAAAAGGGCTGCTTGTTTCTTTATTGCATATTGATTTAGCTGAGGTGATTAAATTCTAATTGCTAAGGACAAATCACAAAAGCATTTTCCTGAGCAAAGGAATCAAATGAAGGGGTAGTGACCCTTTAATAATTGTGTCATTGGTATTCCTCATGGTTTTTTAAGATAATATAGGACCAAAAAGTAATTGGGAGATTCAGTGAAGGCCAGGAACTAGACATTGTTATAAATAGCAATGCAATAACTAAATTCGCTCCACACACCTTACTATAAAAAGTAACATGTAAAACTCCAGCAAATATCATTTAAGCTTCAAGTGTTTCCACCTTGACTTCATCACTGACCTTGTAAGATCATTTTAATTCTTTTCAAACTGTTGGAGAACAGGGAATCTGTTTGCCCTTGTCTCGGTCCTTTCTGTGCTAACCTGGCAATTTATGAAGAGCAGAAATGCATTTTTCACATTCCTGGAGTCTGTGAGAAGTCCGAGGTTAAGTGGCCCATATCCTGGCAGTGGCCTTCTTGTTGTGTCAACCCATGGAGAAGGTAGAAGAATAAGAGACCAAGTCTGCATGAGCGTGTGGGAAGGAAGGGAATGAAATCTAGCCCTTTATTAAAAACCCACTCCCGTGTGATTGCACTAATCCACTCTTGAAGCACAGACCACATGTCCTAATTAATCACCTCTCAAAGGTCCCATTTCTTTCCTGGATTAAGCTTTTTGTGCTTTTGTTTCTTAAACAGGGTCTCCCTATAGCCCCCACTGGCCTCGAAGTAACTATGTAGACCAGGCTGTCCTTGATCTCACAGAGATCCTCCTGCATCTGTTCCCAGAGTCCTGGGATTAAAGGCATGTGCCACCATACCCGGCTCTACCTTTATTTTTAATGCAAGGATGTTGCAGGTACCAGTGTACCAAGGAATCTGCTATTGGCCCCATAACCCATACCAGTTTTGTTTCTTTTCTTCAAAGCTTGTGCCCAATTATCATCCTGTTTTAGCCTCATGTCACTCCTCAGCTAGAAAACCAGTATCACTAAGTCTTCATTTTTATAAGGAATGACTAAAATGACAAATGGAATACTCTACCACGAAAGGTGAAGGGATGTCAGTTAGCACTGCTATTGCTACTAAGCAGGAATTGTTAAGGAGCTACTGTGGTTTAATGTGAAATGTCTCCCATAGGCTCATGTTTTCACAAGATTTTGGAACCTTTCAGAGGTGGAGCTTTGCTAAAGGAAGTGGGTCATTAGGGTGAGCTCTGGGGATGTACAGCCCAGTCCCACTTCCTGTCCTCTCTCTGCTTCCTAACTGTGGGCACAATGTGAACAGTTGTCTCCTGTTGTTATGTTGTCCCTCCCATGATAAATTATATCCCTTCTTTTAAAATTTTTTTCTTTATTTTTGAGAATTACATATATAATGAAATATGATGCTATCTGCCTCCCATTTCCCCCTCCAACTTTCCCATATCCCCCAATATTCCCCCCTCCAACCTCATGTTCTTTTTTTTTTCTCACTAAGTCCAGTGAGTGCTGTCCAAAAGTGCATGGGTATGGGGCTATCCACTGGAGCATGGGAACATACCAGTGGCCATACTTCCAAAAAAAAATGATTCCTCCTTCCCCAGCAACTATCCACTGCCAGTAGCTCCTCAGTAAGGGGTGGAGCCTGGAGATCATCTTTCCCATTTATACCAGGATTTTATATCCCCTCTTAAACAGTAAGCCCAAATAAACCTTTCTTCTCTTAACATTGCTTCTTGTCAAGTGTATGGTCATAGCAACCTGTAAAGTAACAAATACAGGTGGTACTTAAGGTTGGTATCAACTTCATCATAGCTACACTGATGAAAATTATCTGTAACATCCTGATGAATGTTCATTTCCCATCTATATTAGTTAAGATTCCCCAGAGAAACAGAATCAATAAGGTAGAGACAGGTATGCAGAAAGACATTGTCTGATGAGAGTGTCTCATGTGATCGTGAGACTGAGGCATCACACAGTTTCCCATCTACAAACTGGAAGCCTTGCAAAATCTGTGGTATAGTTCTGTCCAAACACACAGGATAGTATCTATAGCATAAGTCCCTGTGTGAATCCAAAGGGTTAAGAACCAAGAGACTCGTGGAGTAAGTTCTGACCCATCTCTGAAGACCCAGGAGCACAGTTTCTAAGGGCAGGAGAAGATGGATGTCCCAGCTCCAGAGAAAGACAAAATCTACACTTTTATCCTTTTTGTTTAGTTTGGGCCCGCAGCAGACTAAATGATACCTATCCACATTGGTGAGGGCTGTCTTCTTTAGTCAGTACCCCAATTCAAAGGCTAATCTCCCAGAAACTCCCTCACAGACATACCCAGAAATAATGCCTTACCAATTAACTATACACCCCTTAGCCCAGTCAAGTGGACATAGAATGCTAATTTCACATCTTTCATTGACAGGAGTGAAGAGCCTCTCAGGCTAGGCCAATGGCATGAGCTTCATGTGTCTCGCACGGCCAGGAATGGAATCTTACAGGTAGACAAGCAGAAGGTAGTAGGGGGAATGGCAGAGGTAAGGACATGTTTTTTTCTCTTAATGGTTAATATGTCCCAGGTCACTGTGTTCTGCTGATGTTGGTAGAAAAGCAGTATGAAGGGCCTGGCAATATAGGTAAAGACACTTGCTGCCAAGCCTGATGACCTGAGTTCAATCCCCAGAACCCACATGGTAGGAGAAAACTGACTTCCGTAGGCTGTCGTCTGACCTTCACACATGCTCTGCAACACATGTGCATACACACACCCCCACACACAATTAATTAATGATTTTTTTAAAGCAGCATGATGTAGCGTCTGAGTGCATGGTTTCTAGTGTGGGTTGAAATTCTAGCTTCCCACTGGGCAATTACTTTTCTATTTTGCAACTATAAATGGAAAAGGTAGCAGTATACTGACATCACCAAGTTGTTGTGAAGAATGAGTAAGTGAATACTTAGTAACCACAGCACTTTTAAGAACTTGCTTTCTGCTGGGTATGACAGCCCATACTTTAAATCTCAGCACTTAGGAGGCAGAGGCAGGTGGATTTCTATGAGATCAAGGCCAGCCTGGTCTACACAGTGAGTTCCAGGCTAGCTGGAGCTACTAGGAGAGCCTGTCTCAAAAAACAAAAACAAAGAACTTGCCTTCTTTCTGTTCCCTTCATCCTGCCTCATCCTACACCCCTGTCCTTACCATCTATAAAATGCAATAGCTAAGCTGAATTGGAGCCAGCAGTGTAGAAGTAACATGTTTGACAAGAATCTGCTACAAAATCAGACTCTTGAGGTTCCAGGTCCAACTTCATCACAACCAGCAGTGTGGCTCAGGCTGGTTTTCCTCATCTCACTGCTATCCTCATATCAACGGAGCCTACTTCAAAGTGCTATCTGTGAGAATTATGAGAATTGCATATGCAAATCACAGCAGTACCCGACACGTGGTCCTTCACTTATTCTTATTAGTTAGTAGTGTGCTATTATGAACTCAAGGGCACAGAATTTCCACTGTATTTTATTTTTATGATTTTATTTCCAAGGTCATGTCCAAAGAAAAATAACATTTTTAAGAGGAGGTGAGGGAGATTTGCATGAAACTATAGCCTAGAATTTGCCACATGCAAAAATGAGTCTCCTAAAAACACCGAGACCTTGGGCTTGTTAGTATTTTGTTCATAGGAACCTGGACAGTCCTCACCTGTAGTGATCCCACCTATCTGTGAACTTTTCTGTGTTTTCCATCATTATAAATCCTCAGGGGGACAAGGACTGGCTCTTTCTCATTTGTTATTGCTTGTCCAGCACTTAATACAATGTTGGGGTGTAATAAATAGGTGCCTAATAATGTTTGTTAAATGGTTGGTGATAAGATTTGAATTTTTTGTCATAAATCAAATACAGTAATATCTTTTAAAATAATTATTTTATGTATTTGTGTGTGTGTGTGAGTGAGTATATGTGCTCTTATGTATGCCAGTGCACATACCTGTGCATGTGTACAGGTTAGAAGAAGCTCCAAATCTCTTGGAGCTGGAGTTACAGGCATTTGTGGGATACCTGGCTTATTATATAGGTGCTAGGATCTAAACTCTGGTCCTCATGACTATGCAGCAAGCACTGTTAGCCACAGAACCATCTCTCCAGCCCTAAGAATAACATCTTATGTTACCTAAAGCGTGTTCATTCCCAGTGATCTCAGATTTGGCATATCTCCGGGTTCTATCTTATGATAGCCTCACGTTTTGCTTATGGCTCATGCTGGGTGAACTTAGACATTAACTGTTCCACACATCTTGCGCCTACTTCACCCATCGGAGCTTAGGCTTCAACATAAGAGGCCAGGAAGGGCACCAGAAAGTTCCCCAAGAATTAGGAGAATAAAAGACTTTTTCTGCCCTTTACATTTAGTTGATCACAAGGACCCCCACCCCCATGCCTTCCTTTTCTCAGAGCAAAAGCCACACTGGAATGCTCATAGTGCATCTAACTCTAGGCAAAGTGCTTAGTAGGGGGCACCAGGATAGGTTAGACCATACCAAAGTTGTTCACTCATGGCTCCAAAATAGCAGCTGTTTATAATAAGGGTTTAGTTCCCTCTCATGCCACATGGCCATCAATAGCTAGTGTCAGCCTTACTAAGATCCATACTTCCCAGCTCTGAAAGCTTCTTCCCAGAGGGATTCATTGCTCTTTCACTCCATGGTCCTGTTGGAGACAGTCTTCCTGAAGGTGGGGCATGGTTGAAGTAGCATGGCACGCCGGTGGACAATACCGCAGTCTGCACACAGTGTAACAACATAGGATGTGGATATAGGAGGTGGATATTATGATCCTATTTATAGATGATGAAACTGAGCCTTCAGGAGGCTGTAAACTTCCTGGTATATGTGTTCAGTTACCAGGTAAAACGATGTGAAGGTCCAGCAAAGTGCAGCCAGGTGGCTATGAGTTAGCCTGTGATTTGCTGTTTTTATCTCCTGGCAGGGAGGCTTCACCCAAATTAAGTGCAATACGGACATTTTTATTGGCGGAGTCCCCAATTATGATGATGTCAAGAAGAATTCGGGTGTCCTCCATCCGTTCAGTGGGAGCATCCAGAAGGTACAGCTTTGCTTCCTTGTGTTTCTTATCATTCTGAATGTTAGGGGCTGTAATCATCTAAAAAAGAAGTTTGGGGGACATTCTAAAATTGTTTATTTTATTTTATTTTATTTTATTTTTTAATGCTTACAGTATAGTTTTCCAAATGCCTATTCCTGGGCATTCAGCAGAGAATCCATGAAGTAAAAGTGATTTTTTTTTTCCCCCTTAAAAATTCCTCAACTATTCTGGGGCTATTGGGAGAGGTAACTGACATCAGGATACCACAGATGCTTGTATAATGGGAAAAGGGGTGGAAGCAGGGAGCAAGCCTCAGCTTACTGTGTGCTCTCTAGTACTTTGTAGGTTGCTCCATATAGCAGCCAGCCCTCCGCCCCCCCCCATACATATGAGCAGTTGTTCTTTCTCAATCATGTAGCCAAACTCCTAAGACTGTAGACTGAACAGCCTTCTCTGGATGGCAAAAGGTTAAAGAATAACTCGGGTAGTGAAAGACGCTGACCCCGTCTCTTGTGTGTCTCTTGTTCTTTCTCTTGGGAATATCCAAGATCCCTCTGGTTAAAAAGACATGTTCTGTTGGCCACAGATAGGCAGATTGACTCAGCCAGGATTTGCCAGCACTAAAAATGATCAAGTTTGACTCCTTGGTTAGCTTCATCCTGTGTCCTTCAGTGACAAAACATGGTGTATGGACCATGGTTGGACCTGTGACAAGCTGTGAGAGTGAAAGATGAAAGAGGCACGCTGAAGGAAGATGCTCTCATTATTTTCACATTATGGTCCTGGGAAGGGTCCTTGGGCTGTGTCCTTACCTTGTATCTCAGCTCCGGTACAGAAATAGTCCAGCCATATTTACTTGCTCTGACATACTCTTTGTTGCTGACCCATATTGTTAGTGGTACCTCAGTTCATACCTTGGGACTGGCCACATTACACTGTATCAGACATTTTCATGTATGAGGTAGGATGAGGTGGGATAAAAGCTTTGTCCCTGATTCATGGGCACACAGCCCTTTCCTTCTGCCCTCTAGAGGGGTTGCCCTTCCCCCCTGCCCTCTAGAAGTGTTGCCCTCACCCCCCTGCCCTCTAGAGGGGTTGCCCTTCCCTCCTGCCCTCTACAGGTATTGCCCTTCCTCCCTGTTACCAAGGCACTGGCTGTGCCACTTCCAGCAGAAGACAAACGCTGTGCTTGTCTTGTCTCTAGCATGCACTGTTCAGTTTTGTAGTTTCGTTTGCAACATGAAAAGGGGAGATCAGAGAATTCAGGTTCTTCCCCAGCAGCTTCATGGATTCAGGACCAGGAGACGTTCTTTTCCTCCCAGTGCTCCCCAAACTCCCCAAGGCTGAAGCACGCCTTTGGAAATGGAAGTGGATTCACAGTAGGAAGTGTCATTGCTAACCTCTTATAACACCACTGGCCAGGGGAGGTTTTCCTAGGGGTTGGGTGGAGATGTTTCTGTATCTCTGAGTTCTGTACAGCCAGCAGAAGCTCAAAGTAATGCACATCCTGAGGCAAGGGTTAAAAACATAGGGTTCGTTTTGGGGTGGGGTAGGGCACCCAGTACCCCATTCCTGTAATGCATTACTTTGCCTAGAGCCACCTTTCAGCCCCAGGAAGTACTAGTATTGTGGTGCTGAAAGGGAAGTGAGCTTTGCTTACCTTTCTTCAGTGGTGCTGGAGAGGATGTGGAGAGAGGAAATTCAGAAATATTGAGGAAGGAGGAGAACTACAGGAGTGAGTGGGAGAATCGTGAGGTCCAGCTGGTGATTTAGTGGACATCACATGGGTATAAGCCTGAAAGATATGGAGAAAGCACACCCCTGGATTCCACAGCTGTGCTCCCAACAGTGGGTCCCCCCCTTGCTTTCCGTTTCCATGGGCTTGGCCTTGTCCTCACCTTGCTCTGCTTTACAGCACCACCTCTCAGTCATTCCTGCAAACTCCCAAGTGATTTTTAAAAATCAGTTTTTATTTTGTGTGTGAGAGAGGGGTATATGTGCATGTCACAGCATGTATGTGAGGTCAGAAGACAACTTCCAGGAGTTGGTTCTCTATTTCTACTATGTGGGCCCCAGGGATCCATCTTGGATCTTTAGGCTTTGTGGCATGTGCCTTTACCGGCTGAGCCATCTCACCAACACAAAGTGATTCTTAAGACTATTTTAAAGTCACTAGTGACTGGGTCCCTTTGTGGTTCTCATGGTCTGGGTGGGCATGGACAGTGGTATTTATTTATTTATTTATTTATTTATTTATTTATTTATTTCATGTGTATAAATATACTGCCTGCATGTATACAAGTGCACCTGTGTCATGCAGTGTCCACAGAGGTCAGAAGAAAGTGTCAGATCCCCTGGACCTGTAGTTATGGATGGTTGTTAGCCACCATGTGGGAGCTGGGAATCGAACCCAGGCCCTCAGCAAGAGCAACCAGTGCTTTTAACCTCTGAGCCATCTCTTCAGCCCTGATAGAGGTCTTTCTTTCTTTTTTTTAGCTCCAGCTGATCTGGAACTCACTATGTAGACCAGGCTGGCCTTGAATTCACAAAGATTCACCTGCTTTTGCCTCCTAAGTGCTGGGATTAAAGGTGTATGCCACCATACCTGGCAAATGGTGGTATTTCTTAAAAGCCCCCAGTACAGCTAGTCTGTAGAACTGAACTTTGTAGTTCCCAGACCGCCTTCTCAACCAGGCCAAATGTTCAGGCTTCTAGAATTAGAGGAGGGCCCTTCTCTACCACGCCTTCCAGGTGCCATGGTAATCCTGTCAGCTCACCTTCACTTGCAGGGCTATCAAAGCAGGTTCCAGACTTTTTCAACTTCCTTCATTATATATAGCTCAAGTTGGTGTGTTAAAATGCTGGGAGACTACAAGTTGGTTTTCCCAAGTCTTCAATTTCTTTGTGTTTCTCTCCCCCAAGATCATCCTGAATGACTGGACCATCCACGTGAAGCATGATTTCACATCTGGCGTGAATGTGGAGAATGCAGCCCACCCTTGTGTGGGGGCCCCCTGTGCCCATGGGGGCAGCTGCCGGCCCAGAAAGGAGGGTTATGAGTGTGACTGTCCCCTGGGCTTCGAGGGTCTGCACTGCCAGAAAGGTACACATGGGGTTCTCAGCAATGGCGTCCTTGAGGGCATGGGTGCCACAGACAGAATGATGGGGGACCACTCTTTTTTTCTTTCTTTTCCACAGTATCGGGACTTGAACCCATCACCTCACATATACTAGGCAAGTGCTCTATTACCAAATTACATCCCTAGCCCTTGCTGTATTTTTTATTTTGAAAGATGTTCTTGCTAAGTTGCCTAAACTAGCCTTGAGCTCACTCTACAGCCCAGGCAATCCTTCACAATCCTACTGCCTCAGCCTCCCCAAAAGCTGGGATTACAGACCTGCATCACCAGGCCTGGTGAGACCAGTACTTGAAAAGGGAAAATTGGTTATAATGTTATGGCTATGCTGGTATTTTGATCAATGACTTTAGTAACGTATCAAGTGGCTGTTATATATAAATGACTACGATTGCTTAATAAGAATTCAGCGCTGAAATAATTCTGTAAGACTAAATAAACAGCCTCCACACCCCATGCCCTGGCTCTTCCCTAAGAATTCTCTTGTAGGCTGTCTCCCAAAAGGTTAACCTGGACACAACAGGAATCTACAGGAGTTATATATTTGAACCACTTGAAGAACATCCAGGCAGGATGATGCCTGTATATATGGACTGATGAATATTGAACTACAGCAGTAAAGAGAAATGTTTCCCAAATACAGAAAATTATGAATGATGCACTAGTTATTCTAAAGTTTTCATAACCAGTGCTATTTTCCATGCTACCAAACAGGTCTGAGTTATAAACTGGAAATGACCAGAGCAAGAGTATCTACCACCAGGGATTCTAGTATAGACTAATGAGGCAATGCACAGAGAGCATTTAGAAGAGTGCCTGCTAATTCCTCCACCAGTGCTAGCCATTATTATTACTGGTGAGAGAAATGAACTCCTTTAGCAGATGCTCGGAGCTCCCATCACGAGCCCTGTCTGAAAGCTCAGGAGGGCCTCAAACCACAGACCTTGACTGGCCCTCGCTGCACCTACTTAAGGGAAGCAGAGAGCTTGGTCTTGGTATCTAGAAGAAGCCTGTCTGCACATGTCCACATACGTCCATATACTAGACCACGCAGACCATCTTATTTTTAATGTCAGAATGGCTCACCTGCCCAAGAGCTAGTTTTCTGCTAAAGCAAACAGGCCCGAAAGAGATAAGGGTGCAAAGCCGTGAACGAACATGCCTTTGCTTTATCATTTTTCTGCTTGTTTAGTCACCCAATTTTTACCAAAAGAAAATTAAAAATTACAGGTATACACTTTGTACATGGGATGGTAAGAGGAATTATGTGCAGCAATCTTGGAAAATGTGAAAGATGACAATTTGATAGTTAAAAGACTTAGTAGTGTTTGTTTGTTTGTTTGTTTTTTGAGACCCACAGCTGGCCTGAAAGTTGCTATGTAGACCAGGCTGGCCTCGATCTCACAGAGATCTGCCTGCCTCTGCCTCCCAAGTCCTGGGATTAAAAGCATGTGCTACCACATTTACCTCAGTATTTCCCATATTTAAGTGAATTCTGAAAACTGCCTGGCAAAGTATAAAATACTAAAAAAAAAAAGAAAAGTAATTGTGAATCTTCCACTTATAATTCCAACAAGCACATTATTATGGAGCTAATAGGTGATATTTGCAGGAGTGTCTAGTTCAGGAGTGACCTGTTCATTCAGAAACTTGAGTTTGGAGTCTGGGGGTATGGGAGATGGCTTAGTTGGTAAAGTGCTTGCCATGTAAGTAAGCCTCAGGACTGGAGTTAGACTTTCCAAGACCCATGTAAAAATCTGGGTGTGGCGGCCTCTGCCTATAATTTCAGTGAAGCTGTGAAGTTGGAGACAGGAAGATCCCTAGGGCTTATTGGCTAGCTAGTCTTGATGAATCTGTGAGTTCTAGGTTCAGTGAGAGTCTCTGTTTCTGTTTCAAAAAAAGTAAGGTGGAGGATGACTGAGGAAGACACCCAGTGTCAACCTGTGTCTTCTATACACAAGTTCAGAGATATTTGCATGCACTAGCACAAACATATGTGTGCATGCACGTGTGTGTGTGTGTGTGGAGGAGCGGGACAGTGGGAGTGTG